GATATAAGATTTTAAAACTTGGTAAGATGGACAGTTTTTGCAGTATGGTGAAAAACTGACTTTGAAAAAATAAATCTGTTCTTTTTTTTCTTACAAAAGTCTAAATAAAACAAAAATATTGGTGGTAATTTTTGACTGTGTAACTTTACAAACGGCACCTCATACTCACAGGAGCCTCCAGGCTGCTGGGTCTCAGTTCATCCGACTTTAGGAAACGGCAAAGGACGCTTGTTGGCCTCCCCGGCACCAAGGCGTCTGACTTTGGTTAAGATGGTCCAGTCAAACAGCTCGTTGTGAAATCTAAGTATCTGACTCATTTTATGAATCAAATGAACATGTAGCCCACATCTTAACTTGTTCAAGGGTCCTCTTTAAATACGTTTTGAAGTGGTCTTGGAGCCTCCTGCTGACCTAGAGGCTCAGTCAGTTTCAGGCTTTGGTAATGGATAGAATTTGTGGTAATCACTGACGTTCAATTTTTCACGTAAGACCGCATGAAGCCAGAAGGTTCAATGTGTATAAGTAGTGAACATAATGGATAAGTGTGAATGACTCAATCTGGCACTTCCACTGTGCAGATGATGAGTTGTGGCCAGACGGATGTGTGGGAGAGCAGTAATGGTTAAAATCTTTTTTTTATAAAAAGAGGTCATTAGAAATCACTTCACATAAAACCAGGTTGGATAGAATAACAGAAGTCAGAAAGACTTCCACTTTTCATGATGGAAGGGTAATGAGCCACTTAAAATTACTAATAACAGTAAAGAAAGAAGAAATATTTTAAGTCAGAACAGCAATGAATATCAAATGGGAATTAGATTACAGCACAACATTTTGAGGAAAAAATGCAGCCTTGTAATTTGTAAGATTAAATGAAATAAGATGAGTCATGCAGCCTGGCATACATGGACTGAGTAAGAAGCCTTGAATTGTATTAAAACAGCCAAATCAAACAGCTTGGTTAGATCCAGGTAGAGTTGATAACGCCTGCTCCAGATTATTTGACTCATCTTAACAAAAAAAGACACACTGGCTCTTCTCTTCACATACAACCACTTGTTACGCTGCAAACACTGTCAATCTACACAAGTCCTTCAATCTTATATCAACCAGAAAGTATTTTGTCTTGTTTTGAGACTGATAAACTGTCTGATTATCTTGTTAGCCTGCAATTTTTCTTATTTCAAGAAATCTTGCTAAGTGAAGTTGTTTTATTCCACTGGCAGATTATTTCACTTAAAGGGGACCTATTATGCAAAATTCACTTTTTAAAGTTTTTTTTTACTCAACTTTGGGTATGTACTTCTTAAAAAAAACTGTCCTAGGACCAAACAAATGCAACCAGGAACATATTTACTGTAAGTAAATGTATTTTTAATGTATATTAACGACAAGTTTTATACTTCCGTCATTTTGTGATGTCACAAGCCGTACGACAACCCACCGGAACCTGCATTCAGCCCCTCACCCGGGTGAGGCTCCACCTCCTCTGTATAAAAAGCCGTCACAGTGTTGTTGTGTAATGTGTAGCTCATTTCACAACAAGCCTCCAATAGGGCAATGGGTAGAGTGTTGGACCAAAGAGCAGGAAACTAGTGTTTGAGACTGGCACAGACACAATTTAATTATTTACTTACATTCATTATGAACACATTTTCTCATGTAGCTCAATTGTTTAGCTTATTAAAGCCTTGTTAAAGCCTATTTTTTCCAGTTTCTGAGGTATTTTGACCGCTGCTGCTCCCTGCTCTGGTAACAGCATGCAGAGTGAGCGCAGAGCAGAGGAGGGAGAGAAAGAAGAAGCTGCGACTGACTCTGCATCTGGGTCTCATATAGTTGTACAATGGAGCTTCTGCTATAACTAGCCATGCTAACGTAAACGCTGGCTTTAGAGGGCGGAGTTAATGTCAACAGATTTTTGGAGGGCGTTACCAACAGAGCTCATTAACATAAACAGCTCTTCTGAACAGAAGTCAGAGCAGCAGAACGAGAAAATGGGAAATTTTATTATCTGAGAATTATTTTGTGCATTAAATTKAATGAACATGGTCTGGATAGCCCACAGACATACCATAAACATTTCTAGGACCCATAACTGGTCTCCTTTAATTTGAAAAATTTGAAAAGATTCACACTCAGATTAGGTCAAATAATATTTTCAAGATTAATAATCTGACACTCCTCTGGCTGGATATGAAACTGACAGATTTGGTTAGATGACAATTTTTGTAGGGTGGAGTGGGCGGGGCTACAATTATTTTGATGCATCTGAAAGTGAAAGTCATAATTCATTTATTAAACGGGCATTGTCATGTAAAATCAACTTTTTTTAGTTTTATATCATGTTATAATGTTATACTCTCATAAAAAAC